AAGCAAAAAATGTACATTTGATCCAAAAACACCAATAGAAAAGTGTTAAACCATGTTTGGTGTGTAAAAAATGGTTTTGCAAAACCGGAGTTAAAAAAAATGGCATGGATGAGCCTTTTCTTAACAGCAATGGCATAAATGAGCCAAACTTTTAACGGATGGCATAAATGAGCCTTTTCTAAAAGTTCGATGGCATATTTGAGCCTTAAAATTTAATCAACTTTCTAAATTTTATCAATATCATATAAATTAAAATAATAGATATTGGGCTCGTGCTAGATTAGACACGCGTGTCTAATTTTAAGCATACATTTAAGTTTTAAATTTTACTTCTTTAAAATAGAGAGTTCTTAATCAATATTTTATATCTTTTTAATAATTTTAAAATCATAAATATAACTAAATTCTGTGTAACCGAAGGTTAGCTCCGCTCTCGATTTCTTGTGAGAATCAACATGGTTTTATCTTTAGATGAAGGAACTATTGAGGAAATCATGTCAATAAACTTTCAAAGATAAGAGACTGGAAGGCTACTTAGTTCTGTGCAATGGTTATAGAAATAACACTTCAAAATTGGTTATGCTACTGCAGTTCTGTGAGATGGCACTACTAAAAAAACAGTGAATACCGACCTACAAATATTGACCTCCGGAGGTGGGTATTCCCTGAAATACCGACCTAAAACCGACATCCCAGCTTAGGTCGGAAAAAGCTTGGTAGCTATTCAATATCGACCTCTGGAGGTCGGTATTTACTGACCTCTCGAGGTCAATTTTTATTTTATGTCGGAATATTCAATTTTTTAAATTTCGACCTCCGGAGGTTGGTATTTTTATTTTTGCATTTTGAGATTCTGACCTCCCGGAGGTCGGTATTTTTATTTTTGTAATGTTGAAATTCCGACCTCCGGAGGTCGGTATTTTTATTTTTTATTTTTATTCTGACCTCCGGAGGTCGGTATTTTTATTTTTGTATTTTTGAAATTCTGACCTCCGGAGGTCGGTATTTTTATTTTTGTATTTTTGAAATTCTGACCTCCGGAGGTCGGTATTTTTATTTTTGTATTTTTGAAATTCTGACCTCCGGAGGTCGGTATTTTTATTTTTGTATTTTTGAAATTCTGACCTCCGAAGGTCGGTATTTTTATTTTTATAATGTTGATGGTGGACTTAGTTCTATTTTGAAGGTACAATAGATTGTCACTCTATTGTGCTGGTGTGCTGTGATGTGTGCATTAGTTCTATTTTGAAGCTACAATAATTCCTTTGTCATGTAGTACTGTTTATCTTGTTTCGTTTCGAATTTTCAACTTAAATAATATTCTCTCACAGCACCTTTCGAATTTATAGTAAGTTTTTTCATAGATATTTTGACTTATCAATTATTGTGACTTACAAATATATATAAATTTCATTTCAAAATATTTGAAGATTTTATGCGCAAATTTCTTATCAAAATTAAATTGTTTAACTCTCGAAAAATAAAACATATCACATAAATTGAGACAAAAGAAATATACTATTTACGGCAAATAAAATAAATATAGTACAATATTTTTAAGGTTTACATAATAGTTCTAACGGCAAAACTAATGATTGACGGAGTATAGCAGCGGAATTTCTCTTTCCGTATCCTCACTTTCTGTGGGCCGAAATAATTGTCATATCCTCCACAATCTTGTCTCTTTCTATCTACAACAACTTTCACATATACTAACAAACATAAAAATCATATTTGTATGTTATAATTATAGTTTTGCATGATTGCGCTCCATAACAAATTTTATGTTTGCTATGAACTTTTGATTTGTATAATTCGCTAGATATATCCAATTTTATACTAAATTGTTCAGTTTTGTATAAATTCATTTATACATTGTAATTTGTATAGTAAGATCTGTATTTGTATAATTATAAGTGTATAGGATGAAAATATATATATATATTTGTATTTGTATATGCACTTTTCTCTCACTTTATACAAATACAAACGCATTTTATACGTTTTATACGTTTATATATCATATAAACGTATACCGAAAATGGTTAATTGTATACCGAACCAGATGGCAAAAAAATGGGATGTTTGCTGCGAATTACAAATAAAATAAACTATGGCTATAACATTTAATTTGAATTAATAGTCTATTATTTCATACAATTTTCCCTTCTATCTACTCTTCACTTCTCTCTATATAAAAAAAACAAAAATTTGAACTAGAGGCCTAAAATCTAAACTTGCATTTTTAAATGCAAA